CAGGCAGCAATGATCTGAAGGTTTGGTATAAGAAACTTGTTGAGATTTGTGTTCAATTTAACTGCAGTGTATCCTCCTGGGCTGCAGTGGAGCTTTGGATCTTTTGCCTTTTATAAGCAGCACATCAGTCAACAAGAATTAGCTTGGAGGAATGCATTACAAATGTCGAACAAATCAAATTAGCTCTGAGATGTTATCTGTTGATATCTCATTTCTTCCTCAGACTTCTAACCACTGGAATACATCTGGGCAGCTGGGGGAGGCAATTGTTTTACTATAAAGTACTAAATATAGGTGCTATAGAACAAATTACAACATGCTGCATTGCCACTCCACCTCCAGCACAGGATGAACCAGGAACAGTTACCTGCTGGAAAAAGATAATTCAGTCTAGCTAACATGTCACCTTCAAAGCATAAAAAGGCAACTAAATCATTGCAATTATGTGCTAAGGATGAGTGACAAAGTCATCTGTTGCAGCTGTTATTTAAAGAAATCAAAATTTGGAGCACCATTTACTTGTTTCAAAATTTCTCTGCTACTGAAATTTGAATGCTCCTGAAGAATTCAGTAATGCATTCCATGAAGAAAACTACAGGCTTTATCCTTAATATCATACATACTTTAACATAAATTTAGAGCAGAATTCTTTCCTCTTTTTAAATGGAAATAGTTTGCTTACCTGAAAGTTCTTGTGATGGCCAAAGAATAGACTGGAAAATGAATTATATTAGTTGCTTGGTCAAAGTTTTACACAGCATTTCACCCTGATCGGGATTAAATGAGGAGCTCCAGTGACACACACACTTGATGCCATGATGTGCAGCAGACTGGAGGTTTTCCTGCCCAACACTTTAGTGAATTCAAGAAGAGCAAATGAAAATTTACTGTAGCAGAAGTGCCACAGCTGTGAGTTCTGTTAGGTCGCAATTAGACTATAATTCACATAATAAACTGTGCTATTGATAGCGAAGGCTTTCACAGCCTCCCTTGCCCACAAAGATGGTAACTTTTCTGTGCCATAGCTGAGGGAAAGGAACAGGAGTGAGTTGCCTGCAGAACTAAGGCTTTCTTTAGAGGCTAAAATTGATCCACTATTGCAGAAGAGTTTAGGAAATAAAAGCTTTGACCTGTCAGTTTAAAGCCCCTGGTGAAAGTTCCTTGCTCAAATCACCCAGAAACAGGCTGGAGGACTACATCATCTACTGCAGGCTCTGACATGGGCTTTGGGTGACATGAACCAACAGACTGAGACCCAAGACCATCATGTCTAACCAGCCCAGGTGTGTAAAACGTTAAGTCCTTACCAGAAATTTTATTAAATACTTGGTTCTAAAAGCAATTTTCATTATTAAAACCAAAGAGAAAGTCGCAAAATATGTCTACATTTGAATATCCTGATACCTTCCCTGTGCACCATGAGGAAGCAAATGTCCATGTTTACCATGTGCCACCCAGAGGAAAACATTGCTAAAACCCCTCTTTGTGATCAGTCATTACCCAGCTCTTCCTAAGGTTTGTGCAGTGCTTTCTGCAACAGCCTGTCCACCCGCCCAGACAGTGAGCACACTGGTGCAGGCAATCACATCATAAACTGATCAAATGCCATTGTACAACTCAATAGGCTTTTTGGACTAAGTTACCAAAATCTGGGAGTGGGCCTTTCTTCCATTCAAACTAATTTGGGCAACAATGAAAAAATTCACTCATGAACAAGGTTTCTGACTACATCTTTTTCCGTCAGTGGTTCTTGTTTTCCGCTCCAACCCGCATCATCTATTCTCTTCCTTCCACCCATTCTTCCCCCCAGAAAAGGTTGGCTTGGACACTGTGCTTCAATTTTCTGCAGAACTTTCTATTTTTCTTTCACATTCTTTTTGTTTAGCATATGAAAGGAGCTTCCTGTTTAGAAACATGGGAGTCCTACACCCTCAGTAATGATGTATTCAGCCCATCAGTGATCTTGACATGAATGCCTTAAAACCTTAATAAGTCTGATGGAATTTTCTGTATATGTTATCATCATCATCATCAGTTCAAGACACAATGCACAACATTTGTCATCTTGCACTGAATCAGCTCCCTTCCCAGTCCTCTGGTTCCAGTAAGGAAAATCTAGTAAGAAAGCTCAGTAGTTTCCTTCTCTTAAGTATTTCAAATGATAGATTTCCAATGAAATCTACAGAACAGAAACAGAAGCACCACGAGGAGAAGGTGCTGTTGCAGAATTCCCAACATGATCAATACTGTCCTGCTTTCCAGCCCTGCATCCCTGCAGCAGCCTGCCAATGCTCACATTGCTCAAGGCTTACTATATCTGTATTGTCCAAACCCTGGGCTTGTCCTGTGCTACGGAATAGGAATGAAATATGTAATGTAATCCCTGCTCAACTTTTAAAAAAACCAAACAAAACACATTTCCTCAAACCCTACAAGGCCTAGAACAAAATTATATCTTGTTCAAGTACATAGGATGGATTCAAAATCTATTTATATGGGTCAAAAAAAAAAAAAAAGGCAGCAGTAGTAGTGACTTGAAATAAACTGAAATATTTGTCTCTTCAGGAGTTTAGTGTACAGAAACACCTAAGTGCAGCCTGTTCCCCTCTGCTGAATTTGAACAGCAGTGGAATTCTCCAGTGAAGGTAGTGGATATCACTTGAATCAGTGGGTGCAGCAGCAGCAGCCTGTGAACCAACACAACAAAGGCTGTTCTTCTCCAAGCAGGGCTCAGCACCACAGTGGTCAAACTCAATTTATTCTATATGGTGCAATTCTTCAGCTAATTCTTCTCTGAGAAAAGCTGCCAGCCTGGGGCTTGTGCATCTTAACCTCTGACAAAGCAAGGCACATACACTGCTTCACTTTAACTCTTGTGGGGACTTGCTCTGTGCCTACATAAACATGAAAACATATTTTGATTTTTACTTCTGGGTGAGCAGCAGAGTTAATTTAAAACTGTCGGCAAGTGTCATCCTAATTAAAAACAAATGACTAATTGTACAAGTACAGGGCCTGTTGACACAGGCTAAAAATGTCAAAGCCAACCAAGTTTGAATTTGAGGAAAAGCAGCACCATCTAGTGCCCTACAGTAGTCAGATCCAAAAATCAATTTCACTAGCCCACAAAGAAATTTCAAGATAGCAAAAACAGTAGGATGCCAGAGGTTTAACTCTATTAGCACTTCTGATAAAAGGAATTGTGTAGTAATAGTCTTGTTAATAAAGACCTCCCAAGAGTGAGATATTTTCAGGCGGAACAGAAATTGTTTAAAGACAAACTAAGAAATTATTTTCTATATCTATAAAAAAGATGCAGTCCAAAGACTAAAACTTACCAGAAGGCTAATAGTGTCTATAAAAAGCTGCTAGAAATAAAAAATTAAGCTTCAAGAAGTTCAACAACATTAAAAGTTCTAGCAGACTGAAAACAAGACAACAGGAAGAGGTTTTGAGAAACCTTGAGAAAATATAAAAGGAAAATTAACATAAATTACTTTTCAAACTCATCAGGAATAGATATCTTGACAAATGGTTAATACAGCAAACATATGATCAACAAGTAGGAAGAGCAATATGAAAGAGATTAGACTGCAAAAAATTTTCAAAATGTTTTGGGCTTTGGTGTGTTTGGGATTTTTAAAATTTTATTTGGGGGGGTTTGTTGCTAGGTTTTTCTGGGAGTTGATTTAGTGTGATGTTCTTTTGTTGTTTTCTTGGGCATTTTGTTTTTTTGGGAGGGGATATTTGTTGGTTTTTTTAAATCCACATTCACCATGGAGCTCAGATTGGCTCCTGCTCCAAACAGCTCATTTCAAATCAGAGGATCAAGGATGCTACTGGCCATTTCAGTGACACAAAACAGTAACAGTTCTTTACAATTAAAAGAAACCAATTAGACAATAACTTAAAAAGAAGCAAATGAGGTAACAAATGAGACAATTTTTAATGAGTTTTCCAGGGACTTATGTAGGTGAGCTGACCTCTTGTGCTGATACCCTGTGATATAAAAATATTGTACATACAGATAACTGTGCTATGCTGGCAAAAATGGCTCAAGTAAAGGGTATGTGGGACTCGCATCCATTGTCATTCTCAGTCTTCAAGTGTTATTAACAGATATGAATTTAAAATATATCAAGGCAGAAATTCCTGATCTGCCAGCATTTTGAGCATCATGTCAGTCCTCCAATACAAAATCCAAGTACAAAAAGGAATGGAGAAAAAAAAATATTGGCAGACCTTGCATTCCTGACCACTGTCTCAAGCTATGGACTATTATGAAGATTTTTAACTGCAGAAGAAAGTGCCAGAGCAAGCTGCTTTTACAAACCCTACAGAGAATCTAAATAATCAAGTTTAAATCAAAAGTCAAAGCTTTGTAGGACTCATATGACTCTAAAACATAATTATATCAGAAGTGCCCTTTTTTCACACAAGGAGGAAAGTAAACTGCAAACAAGGTGGGCATGAGAAAGTATATATTAAAAAAGAGCTTTGCTCAGGTTCTAGTGCACCTTCACTACAGATTATTTATGAGCATCCTTAGGCATCCAGCAGAATTTCATGTATTCAAGAACTGAAACATGGTACAAACAGTGGGAAATGAATGCAGCAGGCAACTCAACAGCATGTGAGCAACAAACTCAGTCTCTACTCATGGCCATGGAAACTAACTGTTAACAAAGCCACAATGAAAATATCTGAAAACATTAACATTGCACTGAAGCTCATCTTCCTTACCTTAGGTGGAAGGTTCATATAAACACCATTTCCCTACAATGGGGATATGCATCACAAATTTGAACACAGCATAGATTGATGTAGTGTTGTCCCCAAAGCAATCTGCAAGGCTTGGGTATTAGTAAGGACAGAAGTTAAAACAACACACTGAAGACACTGCTTGCCCTGACAGTGAGGCTGATCCTTTAACCTAATAAAGCACTAGCTCTGCAGAAGAACGTATACCCCCACCAACACAAAAAACATGACAAGTCAAATCTCAAAGATAAATCAAAATTTATTTAAAACAACAAAAACAAGACAGTGCTACTGCCAATATAGAAAAAAATTAAGGATTCTTCTACTGAATGCGACAAGGCAGACAATTTACAGCAGTTTGCATTAATTCTGAGATCAGGTGGGGTTTTACACTGTTTCGATTGACGCCATGTACTTTCTGCAAGATGAACTGATTCCCCTTCCCCTCCCCTTTTCAAAAGAACAGACAAAAATACCCTATAAAAAACATATACAGAATTTTGAGACATGATTGAAACATGAACCAATGTCTAAAAGTCTGGAACTTTACAAGAAAGTCAAGTCCTTTGTTGCTTCAACCAACTCTCAACGGGGGAGCTACAAGCACAACGCCATCCCCTCTGACAAAGAGCATCGGAATATTCCTCTTGGTAGACTATGAAGAAGGAAAGAAAAGTTTACATTTACAAAACATTAATTTCAATCATAGAAAACACCTGAAACAACTCCAGCAAACACTCAATGTTCTCGCATGCTGAACGGATCAATACAATTAACACCAAGTCTCTAGACAACCTGTGTGCTTTCATATCAGTTTGCCCAAATCCTGTTAGAGCTTGGCTCGAAAAACAGTCAGCAATAAACTACTTTAACAATATAACACAGTGTAGTTTAAAAAAAAAAATCTGTCAGGATAAATTAACTCATTTTTTAGGTCTTACTTTATAAATCTCTTCATAGGTTTCTTCATCAATTTCTATTGTAGTCACAGTTTCTTCCACATCACCCAAAATCATATTTAAGTGCTGATCATATGCCTGCAGAAAGTAAGTTTAGTTTACCATGTTCCCAAAATTCAAACATGAGTTTATTAAAATGAGAATTTTAGCAAGACTTTGAGACATAAATAGTTTAATCTGATTTTGACCAACACATAGTACTATCATTCTAGTTCCAGCTCAACACAAACATAAACAAACGAGAACTTTGCAGCAGGAAAAAGAAGGCACGGCATTTGCATTTACTGCAACACTTGCAGGAAATAGCTCTGAAGCATTCTGTGAGAGCATTTACAAGACCTCAGAGACAGACAGACTTTGTTAACATTAAACCAGCTACACACTGCTGCCAGTCCAGCCTCCTGGAATTGATTGCCTGGGGGCAACTTACAGGGTTTGAAAGCTGCTACTCGTACAGTGCTACAAAACCTTAAACTCATGTTCCAAAATCCTTAAAAAGCATGTTGCAAACTACACGTCCCTCATGGATCTCTCATTATCTGTGTGTTTCCAAAGGAGTTGAGGCCCAGTTAACTCATGGGGCAACTGGTTCTCCTTCCCAGCAGAGCACAGCACTCAGGGAGGCTGACTGACTTACAGAAAGCAAAAATCTGAGAATGCAGCTGAGCACTGTCCCATCACACCTCCCAGGGTGTGCCTTAAGGGATTCTTGTTTGATAATAATGACCTCAGTCTAGAAGAGGCCTCAGGGCACATCATATGAAGAGGCCTTCAGCATCATTGCTTATTTCACAGAGAAATGGAAGCCAAAAGCAGTGAAATTAGTTGCTTGGTATCATTCAGGAGACAAGAAGAACAAGATATATCTCTTGATTTTCTAGGGAAGCAGTTAATAGTTGACAAAGCACTGAGGAAATGAGATTTTTCCACCAATCACATTACAGTTCTGGTAACTAAGACAATTCTTAACCTACTTTCCCCAACCACTTCTGCACTTTCAACCAGGAAATGCAATTACTCATGTTTTAAAACTAACTTTTTCAACAACCAGTGGAATATTACAGGTAAACTTGTTTAACAGACTGTTGTACATAAAGAAAGGCTACACAGTGCTTAGCTGAATGAGCATGACAATGTTGTCAAAGTTTTACTTACATGTAATCTGCCTCTAAGCTCTCTGTCGTTCCTCATTTTGACATAGATTCGCTCATCTAGACTGAGTCTGATGAGATCAAGTGGCTCCTCTACAGTATTTGTTGTTTGTTGCTAAAAAAAAGAAGCATTATTTGTACAGAAGAAGCCTGTCAACTTTTCCACTCCTCAATGTGAAACATAGAAAACAAAGGAGTGAAAACACAGATGCAAATAATTCAAATTACTCCATCACATGCTAGTGAACCCGAGTGCTGCTGATTTACTACTCCACTGATACTCAGCAGCCCTGAGCAATGTGAGTCAAAATATTTCATTTAAACCTGCAGCAAATCATTCTTAACACACAGGGGGACTGGAACTGGATGATCTTTAGGGTCTAACACAAACCATTCTATCACACTGTGAACTGTTTTTGCTACCAGCAGCCGCAGTTTACACTGCAGGAAGCAGCAGCACAGCTGTGCCATGGCACGACACAGCCGAAGCAGCCGAACCCACGCTGCCAGCGGTGCCAGCACAGAGAGTTACCCGGGCACACAGCCCCGGGGGGCTCTCGGGTGCCCCGGGGGGGCTCTCGGGTGCCCCGGGGGGGCTCTCGGGTGCCCCGGGGGAGGCTCTCGGGTGCCCCGGGGCACACCCTGCCCCCCACACTCAGCCTCCCGAGCCCTCGCTGGGCCGCACCGCAGCCAGGCCGGGCCGGGCCCCGAGGCTGGCGTGGAACCTCAACACACAGCGGCCTGAGGCCCCTTGCTGTGCGAAACGCGCACTTCGAGAATCACAACTAAAAAAAGGGTGACGACCTCCTCCACATCTTCCATCTATATCCCGTATTTCCCTTCTAGCTGGCCCCTTCCTTCAGAGCCCAGGGCACTGCCCTCGGCGGCTTTCCCCCTGTCCCTCCTCGGGCAGTGCGGGATCAGCGAGCCCTGCCCGCGCCCCGACAGCGGCACAAGCTCCGAGCCCGAGCGGGGATTGCAGCGGCACGGAGAGCTCCCGGGGGCCGCGCTGCCCAGAGCTGCCTCCCTGCAGCCCGAGGGAGCCGAGAGTCCTCACCTGGTCCACCTCATCCGCCATCTTTCAAAGCGCTTCCCGTGCCCGCCCGCGAGACTTTATGGCCCGGCCCCTTCCCTTCCCTTCCCTTCCCCTCCCTTCCCTTCCGCGGGGCGGGCCGGGCCTGCCGCGCCATGGCCAGGAAGCGCCGAGCATCGCCCCGGCCCGCCGCCGCCAGGAAGAGGCGCTCCAGGGCGCTGCCAAGGGACGAGCCGGAGGAGGATGAGGAGGGTGAGTGCGGCTCGGAGGCCGTGGCGGGCCGGAGCTGCGCCACCACCGCGGCTCGGGCCGCTCCAGCCGCGGGGTCGGGGGACCGCGCTGCCAGCGCGCCTCGGGAAGGACGGGCGCGCCGGCCTGGGGGGAGACGGAAATCGCTGTGTTATCGCTGTGTTATCGCTGTGTTATCGCTGTGTTATCGCTGTGTTGTCGCTGTGTTATCAGCAGCGTTATCCGGGCGTTAAACCCGCGTGTGACTGGGCCCCGCACGCTGCCAAAGGCCGAGCAGCCCGTGCGGGGCTGTTTGGTCTCGGCCGTGCTCTCCTGAGCAGCGACATGCGGGAATAACTTGTTACGAGTGGCAGGCACGATGCTTGGTTTTCCGCCGATTCCATCGGTAGGACTGTAGGAATCTTTAGGTATTTCTGGCAAGTTACGTAAGTGCTTCCCTCCAACATGTCTCACTGTTCAAATCCTGCCTGCTTGTAAACAAACAATGACATGCTCAGCATTGTGAGTGCTGACATTCTTCTGAAGCTGCCTCTAATGAAGTCCATGGAGATGAAACTCTGTCCTCTAACATCTTCATTTCTTTTGTCACATGCAGATGATTTTGAAGAGAAAAAACCCAGTATAAAAAAGACCTCAAAAGCTCCAGCTAGGAAAAAGGGAGATGATTGTGATACTGAAGTTTCCAGCGCAGCAAAAACTTCCAAACCTTCAAAACAAGAAGAGGCAAAATCACAAATAAAAGAAAGTAAAAAGAATGCTAGAAATAAAGATAATTCTATCAAAGAAGAAACATGCAGGTAAATTTATTTATCATTCAAGTCTATAGGACCTTTTTCTTATTTTTTTTGTGTGGTTTGATGGTCAAATACTCAATCAGTTGTTACTGATGCAGAGATCATGCTTGATTTATTTCCCTATTTTTAGTCTTTGATAAACAAGCACCTGCATTTCTTGATGCTACCACTGTTTTGTGATTTTAACAGTGACTCACTGAAGAATCCTCAGAAGGAGATGAAATTAAAGACAGAATCTCCTGTTAAAAAAGAGATGGATGAAGACAATACTGACAACGATGATGACGATGAAAGTGAAGATGAATGGGAGGATGTGGAAGGTAACAATTGCATATTTTTTCATGTTAAGCACTTTTTAAGAGCCTGTATATCACAATGATTCTTCAACAGCAGGTGACCAGCATCCCACAGTTATTTCAAATAACGTAGTACACACAATGTTATGGGAGATCCAGGAGCTGGTAGTTACTGGATGTGTTCTGTTTAAAGGTTGTTTGAACACTTGAGAAGGAAAATGTGGGTTCTTTTCCAAACACCAGTCCTCCCTGGGAATCTATTCCATGTTTACTTATAATTTAGTATTTTTTTTTACAGAACTTCAGGAACCTTCAGATAAGTTAGAAGCTACTGTTCTTCCATCAATGGGGCTGCCAAGCAATCCTGTCGAGATAGAGATTGAAACCCCAGAGCAGGTGAAGAAAAGAGAGACGAGGTAAGAACAAGGAGGTGGTGGAGGGCTGCTAAAGGCTGAAGTTAAAAATACCCTAAGTCTTGGCTGTCACTGACTTGCTGCGTTCATTCAGGGTGAAAATCCCCACTTGGTTCAGACTGTTGAGTTGGAATAATGCAGGGCTATGGGATGAAGAACAGTTTACACACTGACAGTTCTACCAAAAATCTTCAGTGGAAGTTGGCAGGAATTGAGGAGGCTTTTCAGCTTCCTCGAAAATCAAGTGTGTAACTTCACTGTGTTTTACTGTCTCCATTTCCAGTGAAGGGACAACAGGAAGTGTCTGCGAGGAGAGCTGTGGGTGAATGACATTGTGTGCCTGCAAAACCTTAATAGCCTGTTCACATAACCAGTCACTAAACCTTTCCTTAAGTGTGCATGGAAGATTCTCTGGGATGGGTTCTCTTTGTGAACTGACCCAGTTCAGAAATCAAGAAAGGCAGGTCCACAGAAAACCCACAACATCCCTTTCTTTTGTAATCTTCTGCAGAGAAAAAAGAAAAGCTGAGTTTGAGATGTACCTTCGGAGAATGATGAAACGTTTCAGCAAGGAGGTTCGTGAGGACACACATAAGGTATTTGTCACAGAGAGCCATGGCAGTAAAGAAATTGAGCATAAAGGTGTCTGGACTGATTTGTAATCAAAAGAAACTATTTTTAAAATAGTTAGAAAGGCTAGAAGTGACAAAATAAAGAGGCTGTAGTCCTGACAGATGCTCATTAAAGTTTCTCCCTAAACTGTGAACTGGAAACACCAGTGCCTGTGTTAGTAAAGTTCTAACTCAAAGCATATGTGAGTAGGATGTATATGTCTCCATAGAGGGATATTGTCTCATTCTGTTGGGATTAAACTGCCAGTCATGTAGAGCAGGAGACACTTGCAAAGACTTCAGTGCTTTGCTGTCTTCTGAAGACAGCACTATGAGTCTTGGGAGGCTTCATTGCCACTTCTCTCTGTTAAAAGGAGCAGTGAAGTATTCCTTGTCTTTACCATGAGCAGTAGTTCCAATAAGGAAAATCTCTTGTAACTCATTTTCAAACTCTTCTCTCTCAGGTTCACTTGCTGTGTTTATTAGCAAATGGTTTCTACAGGAACAGGATCTGCAGCCAGCCAGATCTCCTCGCCATCGCTCTGTCCATCGTCCCCACCCGCTTCACCCAAGTGCCCGCAGGCCAAGTGGGCCTTGTCTACCTTTCCAACCTGGTGAAATGGTAAAACTCTTCTGATGGTGCTGTCACATAGTGGTGCTGTCACATAGAATGTAGAGCGAGGGTTCAGGGAGAGGGGTAACTGTAACTAGCAATTTTCTGTGGGTTTTTTAAATTTTATCCGCAAGGATGAGAGGGGCTGTCCTTTTTAGAGGAGGAGAGGGTGAACTCAGAAGTTTAAGAATACAGTCACAAGCCCTGGATAATATGCAGGTGTCTTGTATTTCAGGTTTGTTGGAACCTTCACTGTCAATGATGAGCTTTCCACTGAAAAAGGAGAGCCCCTTCAGGCAACACTGGAGAGGAGGTTTGCCATCTACGCTGCACAGGATGATGAGGAACTTGTTCATGTAAGAGACTGGGAAGTGCAGGGCTGGTTGGTGAGTTTGGATGCTGTGTGTCAGGTCATACACAAGTGGTGGAAGGGGTGGATCTGAAGAAGGCAGATCGGTGACTTAAGTGATTCTGTAGCTTTTTATTTTCTTGCATTTTTATCTCAAGAGCTCCTGTGATTAAAGTACTCGATTTAAACTGTTTTGCAGATATTTTTAATTATTCTGAGAGCATTACAGCTGCTGTGTCGCCTCGTGCTGTCTTTTCAACCTATTCCTCTCAAGGAGACAAGACCAAAGGTAGTTTTTGTTGTTTGTGTAGAATAAGGAATAGGTCACTGATTTAGTAGGATTAAAAAAACTTTCTTGCTATTACAGCTTGCAGTGAATTTCTTACTGCATGAACCAGGTTCTGTCTACATTGCAGAAAACACACACCCTTAATTTTTAATTTTCTTCTTTAAAAAAGCCAATCATTTCTGTGTTTCAGCAAAGATTTCTTAACGTTTCAGTGGGTTTACATTTCTTTAAAACTTAGATGGCAACTCTTGCTGCATGAGTACACATCTCTTCAGCCAGTTGCCTGAAGTTTTCAAGTGAATTGATTGTACCTGTCAACCTTTGGTCTGCATGAACCTTGGGCTGATTTTAGTCTTTTTTCTTACCATGTTCTTAGCTGTGGTCATAAAAATGACCTGGCCTGTCTCCCTGTAGGCAAAGAGCTCATCCAAGAGGCTGTCTCACAGCAGCACCTGTGAGGGACGGGAGAGTTCTACCACAACACCCAAAGCTGTGGCAAAAACATGCCCCTGCAAAAAAGCCAAGCAGGATGAGAAATCCTCAGAGAGTAAAGAAAACAACAAGGAGCCAAAGAAACCCAAAACTGCCCAGACTGGAAGGACACACAAATCAAAGCTGACTAAAGGTAGCCAGGAACAGAAGGGATCAAATAATGAGACCAGTTCAGCAGAAAAAGATGTGCCAGTCAGGCCCAAGAACGACCGCCGGAGACGAGTGGCCTCCAAAGTGTGTTACAAGGAAGAGAGTGGAAGTGATGAGGGCAGTGCTTCAGACTTTGAGGTTTCAGAGGAGGAAAGTGATCTCTCTGATGAGGATTTTGAAACTGTCCCTAAGAGGCGGAGAAGCTCACAGGCCTCTCAGAATTCAAAGCTGACAACTATAAAAAGGTCAAAAACTGAGACTTCAGAAACAAGGCAAGCAGAAAATTTGCATGGAGCTGAGACTAAGCCAGCAAAAAGTACAACTCCAGCCTTGCCTCAAGCACAGAGGAAGAAAAACAAAATCATTTCTAGTGATGAGGATGATGGACAGCAGGAGGTGAGGAGAGCAATGGGCACAGACCAGTGGCTGGAGGTTTTCCTTGAGCCTGAGGACAAGTGGGTTTGTGTAGACTGTGTTCATGGCAATGTGGGCCAGCCCCAGCTGTGCTTTGCACATGCCACAAAGCCGCTTTTCTACGTTGTGGGGTTTGACAACGATGGGAGTGTCAGGGATGTGACACAAAGATATGATCCAGTGTGGATGACCTCAACAAGGAAGAGCCGTGTGGACCCGGAGTGGTGGGAGGAGACACTGCAGCCGTATGAAAGTCCCTTTGTGGAGAGAGACAAGAAGGAAGAAAATGAGGTAAATCACAGTAGGTTGTTCAGGACACGTAGTGCCAGGAGTCCAGTCCCTGGATTCTCTTTCAGGCAAAAAGTATTAGAAATCTCTTA